GCAGAAGGAAGTAATAGCAACAAACAGTAACAACTGCAAAATACAAGGAAAATTAAAAACAGTTGTGTGTTGGGTTGAAGGGAGATTTTACATAGTTCTGAAATCTCGCATTTTTACCAACAAAGATTACAGTAGAGTAGTAAGAACTTATTTATCCTTAAACAGTAGTTTCAGTTCAAGTCCTAAGTATGGAATCGTCTTAATTTGTTAAAAAATGTCATACTCACAGAATATGAAATTTTTCAACACAAAATAAATTTAGTGGGACCCCAATACAAATATCGAACACACACGGAATGGACAAACAAGTAATACTTCTGGTAATTTGATAACTCCAAACAAGAGTACAGTTGAATGTTCATATACCTCTGAAGTCTCCTGATAATCCCTTGTTTGGACATGACGTTTCATGAAAACTCCCTTTGACCCATCTGGGGTCTGTACTCTCTCACTCTCTTTTGTCCTCACAATGAATAAATAGAAGGGGAAAGGGATAAAGATAAAGATATGCTATACATCAAACAGTACTCAAAGTCACATCTTTCAACAACTCTACTGCCACCCCCTCCCTAAATCTCAAGGTTGTGGTTTCCTTTGGTCACAAGCTCACTAATGCATGTTTTGATGTTGAATTTTTCCAACACTAGGTATATAAATAAGTTACGTTGTTCGGACTTTCGAAAATGTCGATGGTTGCGTGTTGAGTCCTCCAAAAATAATGTTTTCAGAGGATCTGACACGAGTGTCGCGCAACTTAGTAAATAAACACTTTAAAGTCCGTGAATTTAGTTCAATCGAACAATATCACTAGTGAATCAGACTTTTAGAGTTAGTATCAAATAAACTGCATATATGTGCAACGTTGAATGACGTACGATATACAAGACAAACCATAGTGAGAACATAGAGTGTATCTGTAATATTCTAGGCAAATCCTACATCGATAAAAGAATACAGGAGGTGTATAAAGGGTACATCACATGTAGTCGCTTGGAATCAACACGGAGTCTAACGGACAAAGCTGTGAGGTCAATTGGGCAATATCAACAATACTTAGGTAAACCGTGAGCGCGTGTTATATATATGAGGAAGCAAGTCTTAGAGCTTAATGAAAAGTTATAAAAGCAATGCAAGATTAACGAATCGGACTGTTATAAGTTTATAATATAGTATATGACTATGTAAAAATTCCCAAAATATGGTTCCATCAATCCTAAATCAACAATTACATTTCATCTTTTGATTTGGGCTTAATTTGTTAATCCATACTATATTAAAAGCATGAAGGCCCTTAGAAATGTCGTTCGCCTTTTTTACCATTAAAAAGTATATTTCATATTGGATAAAACAATAAATTAGTTATTTTTCTAATTTTTAAGACTTTAAAATTAACTAAAATTTTGGTTATTAAATAATTCCTTATTTGAAACGATACCAAATGCACCAAAATCTCCTTTTATAAATAAACTACTATTAATATTTAGGAGTTTGAGATCATCAATAAATTTGCCACTTTTATTCCCCCCAAAAAAGTTCAACGTCTATATGAATGGAAAAAATCCTAAAGCGTACGACACCCAAGTATGCTTCCAACTGCCCTATCAAATGGGTGGCAATTCACCTAAATACAAAATTCACCTAGCAAAGTTTTTTCTTTCTGCATTTATTCCAAATGACTAAATGTAATTTTTATTACATTAAGTTATTTGTGTTTGTTGATAAATCTCGACAAATTGTGATAAAAGCATATGAAGTAACAAATATTCGTAATTTTAGGATTTAATATTAGGCCACACAACTGATAATATTTTTCAAAAGATATATTGAAAGAATAATCTTTTCAAATTCACTCGAAATTGATTGATCAAACCCTTATGTAAAGTTCAACGACCTTTTAACCTTAAAAAGAAGCATTCATTCTCTAACATTTATGTACAAAAAATAGATATATATATTCTAATAAATGTTTTCGTTACCCGCTATTATTATACTATTTAATTCAATATCAAATCCTAGAAATAATTCATTAATAAAAGCACACTTAACTATTGCACATCAAGTTCAAACGATATAATATCCAACATTAGAAGAGACAAAGATATTATTATTATTATTATTATTATTATTATTATTATTATTATTATTATTATTATTATTATTATTATTATTATTATCATTTAATTTATGTAAATCAAGTATATTCTATTAATTAATTCCAAAATAAATAACAATAATATAACTCCAATAACATAAGACACTAAAAATGGAACTCCAAAATCGTCTCCATTTAATTTTGAACTTCATTAGAACAATAAATGGAATTACAAATAGCGCGAATCAGTAATTGTATACTCGATATCATCATTTTCCCAAAATCATTATTTAAGTTTTTTCTAATACTTTAAAGTTTTTAATTAATTAAATTTTGTCTATTAAATCCTTACTTATTTGAACTATATATAAATTTTTAATATTAAATATATCACATAAATTCTTTTCTTATTTAAATTAAGTAAATTTTTATTTTATAACTCAAACATAATTTTAATATAATATTTATATAATTATTTTAAACATACTATTGAGATGGGTACACGCGCAAAGCACGTACCCTAAGAGTAGTATTCAGTAAAATGCTGCTCCCTTATTCCTAATACATCTAGCTAGCACTTTTCACAATTGGCTTGTGAACTGAACCAAAACTTAATTTAAAGACAGCCCTTTCGGGGGTTCCTTAGGGATCGAATCACTTTGTGTAGATTGACTGAACGCAAAAAACTTCCGGTGGCAGGTGATCGTGTTTTGTTGGATATATTTATTTTCCGGAAAAGGGCCAAAACTATCCCTATCGTTTGCTAAATGGTTTATAAATACCCTCCGTCCATCTATCCGTTCAAAAAAATACACTGTGTCCATCTATCCGTTCAAAAAATACACAAAGTTAATTCTATTAACAAAAATACCCTCGTGACTAACGGCAGAACTGGTGGGTCTTTCATTTAATGACGTGGCGATTTTAATTGGGCCACGTGGCAATCTTTGACTGGAACAAAAAATGGATATTATTTCACCCATTTACCTTATCCGACCCATTTACAAAAATGGGTAGTATCTATCACACCCATTCCCACTCATCTGATCTCCCCCTTTCTTCTTCTCCAATTGGGACACTGCATGCATACAATAACAAATTAATTAAAGAATAGATAAAACCCAAAATCAAATAACCAAAATTCAAACCAGATTCTGAAATTTCTCCAATCAAACTCAGGATAAGTATTGAAACTCTTAAATGGAAAATCAACAGATACATTTGGGTTGTTAAGTAAGAAGACAAGGATCAAAACAAACCAAAAATCTGAAACGAAAAATTGAGCCCAAATGCTAAAATTGTCCAAATATATCAATCAAATCTAAGAGAAATATTGAAACTTTGAAAGAGACAAGTAATGGAAATCTTTGGATTGTTCATAAGAAGACAAAGAGCCACGAAATAACAGAGAAAAAATAACTATATATAACTGATACAAGCACACAAGAAAATTGAAACCAAGGTGCTAAAAAGCTTGAAATTATCACATTCTAGGATAAAGATTGAATCTATAAAAGGTAAAAAAAGAAGTAAAGGGTTACCTTTGGGATGTTCATTAGAAGAAGAAGAGGAGGACAAAGAGCCATGAATTGCAGAAGAAGTGAAAGCCAAAGCCATATTTTCAAACACAAAGAAAGATTTGTTTCAACAAAGAAACGCTAAAAATTCTTTGTGAGATGAGAGTGAGTGTACTGGGTGATAAGGAATAAGAGAGGAAAAAAAAGCAAAGAAAAAGAAAGAAAATAATTAGGCGGGTCAAATAAATAGGGTCGGACCAGGTAAATGGGTGAAAATAAGACCCATGTTTGATTCTTGGTCAATAATGTCACGTGGCCCAATTAAAAATCGCCACATCATTAAATGAAAGACCCACCAGTTCTGCCGTTAGTCGCGGGGGTATTTTTGTTAATAGAATTAACTTCGTGTGTTTTTTTTGAACGGATAGATGGACGAAGTGTATTTTTTTGAACGGATAGATGAACGAAAGATATTTATAAACCATTTAACAAACGATAGAGATAATTTTGGCCCCGTTTATTTTTTAAAAATGCTACTCATATTTATGGTTTTAATAGGCAGGCAGAAAAGTACTGCTCCCATCACATCCTCAGATGCTGAAAAGGTTTTAACAGGGTGGAACTTTATATCCCTCATTCACAAATGTCCTATCCTTAGATGAAATTGATTTTGTGCCGAAAAATTGCATATTTAGGGTTAAAACGCTCCCAAACTTCATTTTCTCATTCTAAGATCTCATTTCTAGCCATAAAATGACACTAATTTTACTATGGTTAACAAACTTATCATTGCAAAGCTACTTTTCTTGGATTCTTTAAGATTAAGAAGAGAACATGTTCGAGTGTTAAAGGGTTTCTCTTGCAATTTTTATTTTATTATCAGATGAAAAGAGTAAGCACAACTCTTATCTATAATTGGAATGCACGTTGAATTCCCTCTTTAGGTCAAACGAAGATGTGGTCAATTAATTAATTCACTTATTCACCTACCCCGTATGGTCAAACGTAGGAAAATCAACATAAATAAATAATACTTTAGAAAATATAAAAACATATGCAAATATAGAGAGAGAGAGAGAGCTTACTGCTGATTGCAACAATATTTCCCTTTAAGGTAGATTAAAGTTGCAAAACTAAGCGAAAATCATGGCTAGAAGTGCAATAGCAACAAAGAGAAAGAAAATAGTTCTCAAAATGAACCCCCCCCCCCCCA